GCAGCAACTCTGTATATGGGTTGCCAGCTCTACTGACTGAGCTAACCGGGCACCCGATGTAGACTTTTCTAAAGTAGGCTACGTTTTCCTGCTGCCCCGTCGACAAAAGTACTCAAAAGCCAGGGCTTCTTTTTGCATTTTTCGGTCAATTTCTTGCATTTTTCCCCCTTATGAACACCAAAACAACACAATGCCTACTTCCTTCTGCAGTTCATGCCACAAGAACACAACAACATGACGTTATGTGCAAACAAGCTATTGAATTATTTTTCATCATGTGTGCAGCCTTGGTTGAAATTTCTGATTGTAGATCTATTTTTACCATAGTTTTGATACTATCAAACTGTACTGTTTAAAATGTGGTATCAAAAAAGGATCCATACTTTTGACAACCTTACTACTGAGCAGTTTTTTGTTTAACTGCTGGATCTTTCCTGGTGCATCACATGCTGTTTAAAGTCTTTTACAAACAAACCAGCACTAAAACCTTCTAGAAGATGACCCTTGAAGACTTGGACTCGTTTTCCATGTGCACCTCCCTTTCGACCTTCTCGGCCGCCTCCTGGTCGTCCTCTCCCACTCCCTCCTTTTTCAGGATCTTTAGCGGCCACCAGAGGGAGCCGCTGCGCCGGTCTCTGCGGACGCTGTGTTCTGCCGGCCAGCAGCAGGGAGTGCCCTTGTCCCCTGTCAGGAAGTAGAGGAGGGCGTTGAGCCAGGCGTTGCAGGAGGCCAGCGGCCGGGTGACCTTGTAGCAGATAGAGACAGTCTTCATAACCTTGCAGCCACCGAGCTGCCCCCGCCGCAGGAGCAGGAACAGCGTCCGGGTCACGTGGAAGGGCAGGAAGCAGAGCGCAAACAGCAGTGTGATGGTTACGATGGTTTTTATGGATTTCCGTCGCCGCCGGATGTAGTGCGAGTACTGCGATCCAGAGATGGAGACAGAGGTTCTCTCCCGCTCTCTGACTCCTTCGGTCACCCCGTCTCCCACTGGACCGTCCTCCCCGCCCTCTACCGAACTGGGAGGGGAGCGCAGGGTCTGAAATATCGTCCTGACCACCTGCGAGTAGCACCAGGCGATGATGACAAAGGGCACAAAGAAGCCCAGGAGGTGGAGGACAATGCCGTATGGGACGTAGTCGGCAAACTCCTTATCGATGGCGTCGTCCCAGCAGTTCATGTATCCCTCCTGGTCCTCCAACTGAGTACTGGTACTGTTCCCGCCTTCCCTTGCCCCTCCAGGCTCGACAACCCCGCCACCTCGCCGCGTCATGTATCCCGTCTGAGCGAACCTGAAGATGGGACAGGTGAGGATGAAGACCACCACCCACACCAATGCACAGGTCCCCTTCACCACTCGCTTGCTCTCCAGAGTGATGGTCCTCATCGGATGGCAGATCCCGAGGTACCTGTGGATGGACAACTGGAGGTGAGTTTTAACCCATCATTTGGGCCCTATACAGATAAAATTAAATTAAATTGTCAAAGGCAAACTGTAATACTTAGTTGTATATTTCATTAGAAACTGTTCCTGTGAGAATAAAATCACAAGGAGTTTGGTGACATATGGCTCAATGTTATGCAGGGGACTGATTCCAGAAAACTACAATTATTTGCAGAAAAGTTGCGGTACATTACAACTTCCAGGAGGGACTGATTGATGGATAAAACGGCCTCAGTGGACAGACAACCAGAGGTGAGTTTGAATCCAAAGTAAAAGTCTGAACACTTGAGGACATAAAAAGTATCAGGTGCTCAGTTGAGGGTTTTTATTTTAAGCCCAGTATACTTGTTCACTCACACTCAAGGATGAATGTCCAAACTACAAAAACAAGTCTTTACACATTCAGAAATTGAATTTTCTTCAGTATTTTTAATACCGTCCTTTATAATGTAAATGACAAAGGAATAGTTACAGTTACAGCTAGTTTCTACTTTGGGTTTGTTTGTGTAAAGGAAAGCACAGTCAAACCCTTCAGCTAACCTGGTTGGCTCAAAGGGCGGGCAGCTAGCATGCTACATTAGCCTCTGAAGCAATGCTATGTCCCTGTAAGCAAGTCAAAGTTCAAACAGCACACTGGGGAGCCGTCAAAAATTAACAATACCAGGAAAATATATGAACAAAAGTCCACTGGAGGCAGTTTTCAACCAACTCATGGAGTTAATGCACATTTTTACTTTATATTCATTAGCTAGCTTGCTAAAGCTGACTAAATGTGTCAGTTGAAGTTGAAGTTGTTTCCCATCCACCTGTTTTTTCTGCACATTTTCAATTTGCATGTAAAAAATAATCCAAAGGTTTTTATGCTGGTTGAGGTGGAAATGTTGGTGTGTTGATAAAAAACTAAATCTAACAAACTGCAATGGAAACTTAGTCAATATATTTTATATATATAAAATGAGGAGGCTGCAACCTTCCTCACACTAATATAGAAATGTCATATTTCCATCATGTTTTCCATCATGTTTTCCATTGTTTGAGCTTTGACTGGAGCTCTTTTAAATGTTTATCTTAATAACTCCTGATATTCACATAACAGTAGATTTATTAAAGCTCCAGTGTGTAACGTTATTGTGATATAATATCCATCGGTATGTTTTCGTTAATGTTGAATAACCTGAAAATAAGAATTGTTGTGTTTTTGTTACCTTAGAATGAGACGTTTATATCTAGCCCAGAACGGACAAACCAAACACTGGATCTAGATCCATGGTTCATGGCCATCCGGTGCCGGTTGAGAACCGGTTTCTAAATGTCTGATCCATTGAAATCGTATGCCTCCGAGCTTGAAGAAATGAAATCATTCTTTCTACTCTGTGTTCAGATAATTTAATCATTGCGTAGACCAAACAAAATACTGATTAGGAATCAATTCCTATCTTTGCATTTACTTTGCACATTTTCTGTAAATTCGGTTAACTGCATACGAGCTAGAACGGATGTGTAGCAACAGCCAGTAAGTGAAGAGACAACAAAAGAAACCTCCTAAAATGGATAAAGACAAAACAAATCAACATCTTATTTTTGTGACAGAAATTGAACCAATTCAGACGTCTCAAAAGTGAATGTGATGTTTCTCATTCGCTCCAGGATTTCACTAGCTTTCTTTGGGGAATTGTTGTGGCCTTTTTTTCTTTAATTCAACTGATCCCTGTGAATTCTATGCAACCTTTTTGTGCAACAACCGCAAGTTTCACCAATCACAGCAGCCCGCTGTGCAAAATGTTGAGTGATACGTCACCAGACCACAACAGATTTTATTCATTCAGATTTATTCATTGCAAAAAAATGATGCAGAAAAATATCAGAAAATACATCGGAATTTTTTATAAAAGATGCTGTGAAGTCAGGCATTTTAGGTCACAGCAATCCCCCAAAAACTCACAGGGATTAAAAAATCGATGGCAACTTTTTTCAGCAAGAATAAAATCTCATGTAGTTTGGTGAAATAAGTCTCAACCTTTTGTACGGGGAAGTGCTAGGATTGGTCAAATATGTGGAAAGGTTGCGATGATTGGACACCACTGCAAGGTTACTGAAAGTTCAGTTGAATTTGCGCTAATTGTTGTCGTCACAACATAACAATTTCCTGGAGGGAGTGGTTTCTGGAGCGTCCTACCTGTGCACGGAGATGCAGGTGAGGAAGAAGATGGAGCAGTACAGGTTGAAGTAGAAGAGGAAGCGGACGAGGCGGCACATGAAGTCCCCGAACACCCAGCGGTCCCTCAGCACGTAGCTTGCCACCAGGAAGGGCAGCGACAGACCGTACATCAGGTCGGTGGTAGCCAGGTTCACCATGTAGATCAATGAGGTGTTCCAGCGTCGCCCACTGCCACTGCTGCTGCCGCCACCGCCGCAACAACTGCCGTGGTGGCGGCAGGAGCGCAGCAGCACCACCGAGTTGAGGGTGAGGCTGAAGAGGAAGGTCAGCGAGTAGCAGACAGGCAGGAAGACGTACTTGTAGGATTCGTCAATGCTGCAGGATGACGGAGGGAGGGACGAGGTGGGCAAGGTGCCAGAGGTGTTGGGATGGTTGCTCGCTGCCGCTGCCGCCACTGCTAAGCCACTGTCTGGAGTGATGTTGGAGACTTGGCTCAATCCCATGATGAAGGCTATTTCTGGATCGGTTCAGGTTCCTCTGGCGTCATCTCAGCTCCTTCACTGGATTCAAGTCTTCTCACTCACCGAGGTTTCCTTCATTTGTCCTTCCTCTGATCTGTCCGTCTGTCTGTCCGTTTGTGTATCTTTCTGTCTGTCTGTGTATCTTTCTGTCTGTCTATCTGTCTAATCTCTGTCTGTATTCGTCGACTGACCCATGTCTCTGGCGTGCAGAAGGTAGTTTCTGGGACAAAGGGGGGAAAGAAAACACAGTCATTAGTTTGGAAAGGCTCGTTCTGAATGTACCACCGGTGTTTTGCTGATGAAGACTATGTTTCGCTCAATTAGCCCCTCAATCATTAACGAAGCTTTCCGGAAACCTCTCTCCATTCATTCAGTGCAGCAGGTCTGCGGTCCGTTCCAGCTGTTGAAGCGTTTGGTTCAGGGTTTAAATTCAAGCCTGTGTTTTGGAACAACTGATGCCGTTAGCGTGCAGAACTGTGTCACCCAGCAAAATCATACTGGACTAATTAAAAAATGGACACATAAAGACAGTTTATATTTTAATGATTCAACCCATTAATGGTCTCATCCAGTAAAAAGCAATGGATTCTTTTCGAATTTTCTCTCAACTTTTGTGGCTCAGTGCAATGTCAGTCTCACTGTCAGCCACTATGATCCGGACCCATCGGTTTGTGGAGTCCCTATTTGAAGCCTCCAGTTCGGCTTTATGTTGGTTTTCTGCAGCCAGCGGAGGTCACATACTGAGAGTTGAGCTGCTTTGTGAACAGATTTGAGGAGAGAAATAGTCAACAACAGAATCTGGATCCATATCTGATCAGCACTGTTTGACAGTTTGATCTGAGTTTGGTGCGTTGAGCTGGACGGACTCACTGAGAATGACTGTCAATCACAAGTAGCCCCGCCTAAAGCATCCCCTGCTTTATGTCTGTTGACTCTAAATGGGACCATCAGTTACTAATATGAACATCATGCTGTATGGAAAGAAGACTAGAGACTGAGACCAGAAACTCATCAGGAAACTGTTTACTGAGCTCATTAACTAACTTCTCCATAAGACTCAGTACTATCAGAGTGCAGCTGCCCCCTGCTGGCTGTTAGAGAGAATGCAGGTTTAAGACACTTCCATATTGGCTTCACTTCACTGACCTGGAAGCTCTGTCCATTATATACTCTGTCACTGGTCTGGATGTAAATATCTCAACAACTATCAGATGGATTGCAATAAAATGTGTTTCTGGACAGACGTCACAGCTGGTTTTGCAACCTCACTTTGGAAATCTGTCCAGTTAGACCAGTTTGAAGCATTTGAACTGTAAATACTGGATTTAACTGCTGCCGTCAGCTGATCAGATGCCAGTATTCCACACTTCAGTGTCCTTCAGGATCAGTCCTACCTTCAGCTGTCCCCCTCGACCAGATTGTCCCTCTTGCTCTCGTCTCGTCGGGTTCTTCGGTCGTGGCTCAGAAGTGCCTGTATCGGGGCTGAAGGGTCTCTCGGGGTTTCTCCCCTGACCTTCAGCGTCTCTGTAAATAATTGATCAGCGTTCATTCAGTCAGAACTGCAGGAATGAAACCCAATACAAGGACTGCAGAGGAGGAGGAGGAGGAGGCTCCGAGCTGTTTGCTTTAACAGGACATGCCGGATCTATCTGGTATTAAAAATGAAAAACTACACAAAGTTTAGAGCTCTGAGACCTTTAATATTTATATTTCACTGCTGATAAATATTTGTCAAATGAATCTTTGACTTGTTTGCCATTTGTTTACTTTTGTATAGCTTTATTGTATTAGCTTCATTCTAACTCTGCTAATTCTGCTAATTGTGTTGAAGTGTTCTGCACATGCTCCCTGCTTAATAAACAGTAAACTAAACCAAATAATATTACACACTTAAAACACAAAAAGTTACTAATATGAACTCATTTCTATGAGAAATGTTCTTGAGCTACAAACATCCGTAGTCCATGAAGGTTGGGATTAAATATATATTATTTATTTTGTTGAATCACCTTCAATCAATAACTGCTGTATGATACAGATCTGACTGACTGACACCAGCTTTTGTAAAGGGAATAAATAACTCACCTTTTCTTCAAGAAGCTGCTGAAGCTTTAAATGTGTCACTTTCTGGTCCTCGTCCTCGCTCTGCCTCTCGTTATCTGAGGCTTTAATTAGAAAGCAAAGTGAGTACAGTGACCGGCCCCTCCTCCTCCTCCTCCTCCATCATCAGCATCATCAGCTCTGATTCAGACGGTAAATACTGAGTTTGTTCCTCTCTGACAGTGAACACACAGTCAGAGAGCCGCACCACAAAGCAGCGCTCGTGTGTTTGAACATTCAAAGGTGTGTGAGTGTAATCAAACACGGCAACACAATCGGCGGTCAAACAGCGTGCAGGTAGCACAGGTATGGATAAATAGCTAGCTGGCTACCGTGTCACATTAACAAACTCTTAATGGCTGATTTTGGAGCCACGTGTCTCTTGGATGGTAACTAAGTACTTTCACTCAAATAGTGTAATGAAGTACAAATTTCAGGTACTTAAATATTTTCATTTCCTGCTATTTTTGTCTTTTGAGAAGTTTATTCTGGTCGAAATATTAATAAGATTACAAAAATATCCTGTGAATTTACATGTCTGGTGTAAAATAACGTGAACAATCTGTAAATGTAAATAATCATAGAATGACTGTTAATTTAAAATGTCCTCTTTTCACATAAATTTATATTTACTGTTTATTTAATAGATTAAACTGTTAAATTCAAGTTTAATACGTTAAATACATTTTTAAAATTTTGTAAAATTGTGACATTACCAGTAAAAAAAAAAAGTGTGTATAATTTTAATGGATTAGTTAGTAACTGACAGATATCTTGTATAATTATGGAAGTTGAATAAATGTTGTTTATCAGTGAAAACAGCAATAATTACTGTAATTTCACCGATGACTTTTATTACAGTTCTATAACTTTTAACATTTAGATTATAATAATAAAAATCTAATAATAACAGCACTCTGCTGTAAATGTAAGCCTGATTATTTGTATTATAGCAGAGCTCACCTGTATTTATAGATCCTTGTTTTACACTGGAAATATCTTTAACTAGACATTTAATAGACAAAGAAAACAAGATTTTGTGTAAAATTAAAGCTAGAAACTGCATTCTCTCTACTTGTTAAGTTAAACGATTTAAATGTTATCTGGGAAATACACATTATAAAGCTGAAAACAGGACACAGATACTTTTACATTCTTATGTATAAAAAGCGATATTTATATTATTTACATTTGTTGAATGTGTTTCTGATTCTAAACGTAAAACACGGAAGCAATGATGCCAAAATACAACCGTTGTAGTCAGACCATGAAAATATATTTTAGAATTAATGTTTACATTTACAAATACATTTGTAATTAATTTTATTTACATTTTAAAATACATCTCTAAAACCCCTTAAAGTCACAATGAAATAAAACACAATCTGTTCCCTGTGTCCGCTCAGTTCAGGACACTGTTGGATCCTGTTTCAAGAGGAAACACATCACATGAAGTTACTGCAACGACATTTCAGTGTGACTTTAAATACGTATATGTGAATAAAAAGATAACACATTCCCTTTACAGTACATTGCATTCGATGATCATCCACACATCAGTGTGAGAGAATGTGGAAATAATATCATTCCTTTGCTACTGATTCAAATCATCTGAACATCCTCATCAACCAAAGTTACTGCATTCAGAATAAAACTCCCTTTAAAGCATTGAGGACTTTAGAAGAATGGCGTGATGTTTAAGGGGCGACACAAACATCGAGTTAAAAGAAGAAAACTTCACAACAAGGCAGCGATATTTCGTGTGCGTCATCACAAACATACGTGGCTGTATTACGGGTATTATTCCCTTGCTTGTCTGTTTAGGAGTAAACAATCACTGACTGTACCTGAAGTGTTAAAGACGCCACCAACGTTAAAATACTTGTTTTTATGCATTTAGGTAACATTAAAAATTCATCTGATATTATAAATTGTACAAATGTTTTTAAAAAGGCAACTCACCACCTGTAATTACCTTTTAAACAAATGGACGGCGATATTGGCTATATCCTATATCCACTATTAATGTTCTAACTTACAGAGTCTGAGTGACGTTATCTATCAAAACTGCTTTTATTTGCTATAAAGTTTGGTGAAATTCCCCTTTTGTTTTTCTTTGTTTTTTAATTATTAAAATTTAACAACCAGCATCAGTTAAAGCTTCTCTATATAACGTTCATTAAACTGTAGCTAACAGCGCCACCAGTGGCCGTTCAGTGAACTGCAGTCAGCGTCCTGTTGCATCATCCTGGGCGTCGGCC